TTGCTAACGTTTCAGGAACCTGTGAGCCTACCAATTATGCTCAAGCTGCTTCTGATCCCCATTGGCAACTTGCCATGAAAGCCGAGTTGGATGCATTGCAACTCAATCGTACTTGGGCACTTGTTCCTTTACCGCATGGTCACAAGCTCATTGGCTGCAAATGGGTTTATAAAATTAAATACAATTCAGATAGCTCCATCGAGCGCTACAAGCCTCACCTCGTCGCCAAAGGCTACAGCCATATTAAGGGTGTTGATTACAGTGAGACTTTCTCCCCTATTGCCAAGATTACTACTCTCTGCTACCTTTTATCTATTGCTACTGCTCATAATTGGTTTATTCACCAACTTGATGTTTAGAATACCTTTCTCCATGGTGACTTACAGGAGGAGGTCTATATGGTCCCTCCTCTCGGTCTTTGCCGACAGTATAATTTAAACTCCTAGGAGGCCTAAATATGAGGAAAGAGAAAGAACTCCTAGTGACTCTCTATAATTTAATGCTGCTTTATTTTATGAGTATTTTAAACCTTTAATTAATGCTAACTATTTTATATATATATATATATATATTTATTTATTTATTTATTTATTTATTTATAGAGATGAACCAATTAAAAAAGAGTTATAGCATTTATGACTCCCTAACCTAAAGAATATGATTGAAGTTACAATTTTATAGAGAGCTCCTAACTAAAATAGCTTTTAATATGTTTTTAGCTAAATTTTAACTAAAAAATAAAGAACATGATTGTAGATGCTCTTAGTTTCGGTTCTTTATGCATCTCTCCCAATTGATTTTCTTGTTACATATGTGATATTGAGGTTAGATATTATTCAATAAGTGTCTCAAGTAATATTTCCAACAACTCTAGAAAAAAAAATTCTCTGAAAAAGTTTAGACTTTATAAATCTACAAGTCCTCTATATATTCAAAAATATTTCACTATTAGGTCATCAAAAATATTCCAAAAAGCCACCCACACAAAAATAATAATAATAAATAAATAAATAAAAACATATATATATATATATACGCACGAAAATATCTAATTAGGACGCAAAAACCCATAACTAAACTCCGAACCAAATTAAATCACATCCAGCAAATTTCAGTTACAACATTATGTAAGCTTTATCTTTGTTTTCTCAAAAGTTTGGTCCAAGATACGTCCTGGCCAAAGTGTAAAGTAGTCCCTAAATTAAACAAACAAAAGTATAAACCAATTTTTTTTTCGGTTAAAAAAACTTTAAATGAGCAATAATATTTATTTTCTCACAAATATAATTCAAGAATTTATAACATAAAAGATGGTGGAATCTTTAGCACTACAAAGACATATTTCATATGGTACACACTAATGAGATATAAATTGTACGGATTTAGCTAAGGTTAATTTCCCACTCTTCATTGATCAAATGTAGATCTCAAACAAAGCAACGATTAGAAATTGTTCAAGTGTGCGTACGCGACTAAAGGAACATAGCTCTGATTGTACATGTTGAAGTAGAGAACTTGAAATGACTGCAATTAGAATGAGGATATATAAGATGGAGTATGCTATCTTGTACCTATTGTGTGGGTAACAAGGCCCTACACACATACCACACTCTTGAAGTCACAACAAAATATATATTCTCTTTACATCATAAAAGCATATCAATCTCAGAGAGAATCATAAGTGGTGTACACACAGACTCCAATCTTGCCTTCTGCCCAAATAACATAACATGGTCAGTGCTGATTCAGTACATACATCACACAAATATTGCCCAAAAATGCAGAAGGTTTCATTAGAGAGGCACCAAAGATCTGGAAATTGACCCCATCAAAACCCGTGGCCCCATTAGGCGATGTGCAAGGAGAGGATACCATAGCTTTGATAATCAAGCTAAAAAGAAAAAAGAAAAAGAAGAGATGTTTGCTGTAAGACATGAGAGTTATTGAGAGAGAGTATGAGACGTTTTCACTGTTTTTGTTTTATGAAACTGTTTTTCAATTAAGTTATTAAATACATTCTTGAATCTTGAAAATGCAAACTCGTTTTCTCGTTTTTATTTTCTAAAAATATTCTCTAAAAATATTTTCCGAAAACGTTACCAAACGGGCCCAATTGATTCAGATATTACATTTATCAGTTGGGCCTGCAAAGTGTCATACCAAAATGTAATTCAAAGTGTTAATAATTGTCCGTAAAAGTAATCTATTAATAGTATGCATATGGCCAAATTTCAACTTAGCTTTCCCACATTGATGTGCATAATTCTAGATGGAGATCACTCTCCTTTGCTTATCTATCTCTTTCTCTCTGATTTTTAATCTCTATCAATTCTATCTTTTTCTCACTTTTTCTACTTTCTCTCCATTTCCTCTCAATTTCCTCACCTAACTTTCCCAGGTCTGTCCTTACATGCCCTATAAACAGGCTTTGGGAGACCTATATCTTCTGCTGATATTATCTAGGCATAACAATTCACAATATATCTTACTTTGTGATCATTAAGCCAGAGATTAATATCCAGTTAAAAGATCTACATGCAGATGTAAGTTGTAACTCTAATGCATTTATTATGAGCTGATTAATTACACATCCTATGCATGCACAGATAAACTTATTAGAGACTCCCCTCAACCCCAAAAAACAAAAACAAAAACTTTTAGAGACCACTTTTTTCTGCAGTGTTTGTAACCAAAGTGATGGTGACGTGATGGTATGTTTTACAGGGCTTGAATTAAACCCAAATTAAACTTCTTTCTGCATAAAGGGTGCTTTAGCTAATTGAATGCCTTTCTCTTTCTGGTCTGTGCCTTGCCTAATCTTTCACTCAATCTCATCACTACTTATCTGCAGTGCCACTTTCACAGGCAGAGTGATGCAGATGCCACTCTAACTTTGTAGCAAAAGATAGGCTGAGCCTAACCTCCTTTCTTTCATATCACACATCAATTTCTAGCTTTGCACAATGCGTTGAGTTTATTACTTGAGCTTCTCAGCTACTGAGTCAGTGACCTCATTGCTCAAAGGAACCACTATTTCAGAGCATCAGCTGTATTTATTACATCAATTATTTATGATGGTAAGTTGTTAATTAACTCATCAACTGTAAAATTATGTGATCAGCTGGTCCTCTAGCATCACAATTTCAGAGAATTCAGAGTTTATTAAAAACCAAGATTAGGTAATAAGCATCTAGCTTTTCTTTTAGCAGGTCATTAAGCATCTTGTTTGATTATATATGTTTCAGTTAAAGTTGCATTTTGTTAGTTTGTTCCTCATTATTTTATTTCTTTGATCCACAGGACATTCCTAACAATGTTGCATCTCAGAATACTCTATCTATCATTTCATCATTTGATTTTGTACTAAATTCTCTCCTCAACCTATTCCTTAAGATATATATTTCCTTTTTCATATTCCTTATATCCATCAAACTTACATCATTGATTCTGCTTAAACAATGCACTGATTTCCCTAATCCAACTTGACCTCATAGAAGTAACTAATTCAATTCCGAATCTCTGAAAATAGATGCGCACTCAAAATTTATATTCTACCATTCTAGCTAGTCCTCTTCTACTGTATAGCACAGAATCAAAGAGCTTATTGTAATGGGTTCATGCTATGTGTCATAACCTTGTTGTCCTTTCCACCTACTCTGGAATTGGAGAAAAACTTCTGTTAGACTATTTTTGCCCCGTGATAATATTGAATAGCAGGAACATGCCATGTTAAAAGATGACATGTATTAAAAGATGACACGCCTCGCATCTACGCCTCGTCTTTCAAAACATTGCTTAATATATAGGAGGATTGATGATCAATATTATACATGTCATCTTTCTCTACTCGTCTAGCTTGTCCTTTTCTACTGTATAGCACAGAATCAAAGAGCAAGCAGTGGGTTCATGCTATGTGTCACACAACCTTGTTGTCCTTCCCATTTACTCTGAAATAAGAGGACTATTTTTGCCACTTGATAATATCTAGTAACAGAACAATCCAGCAAGTATTTATATGTTATCTTTCAACTAGATTATTGTGCCACTCAATACTATCACGGAAGAAGAAAAGCCCCATCTTTTTCTATAAAATGGAGTTGTATATGCTCAATCATGGAGAGATGATTTGAGTAGAACTCCACCAGAAAACAAAACCATAAAATAGACAACAGTGACTACTCACTAGGATTCAGGTTCATAATTGATATGCATGCTTTTTTAATGGGGAACAAGTGGAAAGCAAAGTAGTGCATGCTCACGGTAAAGAAAAGAAAGGAAAAAATTATATGGAAATGACGATGATAGATCCATGAGTTAGTGGCTCTCTGACGTACGTCCTTTGAACATATTTTTTATTCGAGCATTCTGCATTCATTTGTACAACAAACCCAAATTCCTATTTGGGAATATGGCCGTCCACCATCAGAAATCAGAATATCTAGAAAATGATGTGACATGAGATTTACATGTGATGTAAAGAAAACAAATATTCTGAATAAGAATCGAAGCCTCCAAGGCTTTGCATTGATCACAAGTTGATTTTGAATCATTTTTAATTCGAATTTACACCAAGTTTTTGTTCAACCACAGAAATAGTAGTTGAAATGAATATGAAACCAAGTTGTGCACTCTATGAACATTATCAGAATTTCTACTAATAATTTAAGTTGGGAATTAGCCATTTCTGCTTTCTTTGCTTTATTCCATCAAATTTATGTGGCAGTTGTTTGACCAGAAATGATTTCTTTGACATGCAATGAAGGCATTTGGTAATTTTAGTGCACAACTTGCTTTCTACAAAAAAGAGTTTTTCTTAGCCTTTTTCATTAAATTATCTTGGGTTTTCTTCTTTCTTTGAGTCTACCTCTTGCAATTTAGTTTACTACAAGTGGATTTCTTCTTATCACTATCATTATTAACCTAATTCACAAGCACAACACAATCTCATCACGCACTATAAATCCACTTCCAACTCTCTCTCTCTCTCTCTCTCTCTCTCTCTCTCTCTCTCTCTCATAATTGGCAGTTACAAAAAGAGGCTACCAATTTGCTCCTTTTGAGAAACAAACATCCTCACGAAACCCATGCATTCATAAAAATAATCAACCTTATCTGAGAAAAGAAAACGCAACAAGAAATTAGAAAAACCAGATTCTCATCTTTCACTTGGAAATTTATATTTGAAACAAACCCACCAAGCCTGCAAGCCATTTTGCTCAACTACACAATGTCTGCAACATCAAATTTGGAAGAGGACCCAAGAGAGAGAGCCTCTCTGCCACCTTCATCCCTACCTCTCACTCAAAAATGGCCAGCCAACTTTTTCAAGGTCATGCTTTTAGAGCTCAAAATACAAAGAGGAATAGCTCTTCCTTTGGTGGCAATGAATTTGACATGGTTTGCCAAGATAGCAACCACAACAGCTTTTCTTGGCAGGCTCGGAGAGCTTCAGTTGGCCGGTGGCACGCTTGGTTTCACTTTTGCTAATGTCACTGGCTTCTCTGTCTTAAATGGGCTCTGTGGTGCCATGGAACCTATATGTGGTCAAGCTTCTGGAGCTAAAAGTATTAAGCTCCTTCACAAGACCCTTCTCATGACAACTTTCTTTTTACTGCTTGTAACACTTCCTATTTCTTTCTTGTGGCTCAATGTTGACAAAATCCTCATCCATTTTGGCCAACAAGAAGACATTTCAACAGTTGCAAAGAGCTACCTTTTGTATCTCCTGCCAGACTTGGTAATTACCTCATTGCTCTGTCCCCTCAAAGCCTACTTGAACTCCCAGAGCATCACACTACCTTCAATGTTCTGCTCGGCTTTGGCGCTTGCGCTTCACGTACCGATCAATATCTTGCTTGCAAAATCCAACGGTCTTGAGGGAATTGCAATGTCTGTGTGGATCACTGATCTCATGGTTGTGCTTCTACTTGCCTTGTATGTGTGCTGGATTGAAATTAATGCCAAGGAAGGGGGTTGGAAGGAAGGGGGGTGGCTTGATCAAGGTGTTGGGGATTGGATTAGGCTGCTCAAGCTTTGTGGACCTTGCTGCCTCACTACCTGCCTTGAATGGTGGTGCTATGAGATTTTGGTATTGCTAACAGGCAGGCTTGCCAATGCAAAGCAGGCAGTGGGAGTTTTAGCCATTATATTAAACTTCGACTACTTGCTTTACTCAGTCATGCTTTCTCTGGCAACATGTGCCTCAACCCGTGTCTCGAATGAGCTTGGAGCAAACAGAGCGGGCCCTGCTTATCAGTCTGCATTTGTGTCTATAGCAGTGAGTGTGGTCTCAGGTTGCATAGGTGGCTTGGTGATGTTAGCAGCCAGGGGAAGTTGGGGATCTTTGTTCAGCCATGATAAGGGAATTGTAGGAGGTGTGAAGAAGATGATGCTGCTAATGTCTTTAGTGGAGGTGGTAAATTTCCCATTAGCAGTTTGTGGAGGAATTGTCCGGGGAACCGCAAGGCCGTGGTTAGCCATGTATGCAAATCTTGGAGGGTTTTACTTCCTGGCCTTGCCTTTGGGAGTTGTTTTAGCATTCAAGGTTGCACTTGGGCTCAGTGGATTGTTGATAGGGTTTTTGATCGGGATGGTTGCTTGCTTGATTCTGGTTCTCATGTTTGTTGTAAGGATCAATTGGGACGAAGAAGCTTGCAAGGCACAAACACTTGCCTCAGTTGCATGTCAAGCACCAGAACTTAACAAAGATGGCAATAACAAAAGCATGGGGAGAGCTGATGTTGAAGTCTAAGAATAACCTGAGAGTATTTGTTGTAACACAAACGTCTCTTACTCTGAGTCATATCCTAGTAAACCAGAACAGGTAAAATTTTACAGGGTTCTGGATCATCCACTACATAACCATGGCTCCAATGGCCAATTCTAGAAACGTGTTTTGAACGATAAATTTTGAGTAATTTGTGTAGTTCCCAGGTTATTTCTTCATGAGTCCATGTAAATTAAATAACTCCCTAGTGTAAAAAGTGCCCAACTTTATATGCAGTCAAGAAATTTCTGGAAAGCAAGAGGTTAATGAGGCCTAAAAAATGCATACATAGACAATGCAATTCATGGCAAAAAGAATCGCCTATATAAGTAGTCACACAGCATTCCATATAGAAGAAATTATTGCAGATTTTTTTTTTCCAGTTTCCAAAATTCAAATACAACAAAAATTACTTGTATGTTGATGAACTTGTATAAGCTCAGAGGAATCAAATGCAGACTACCATTCAGGAACTTGCAATCCCATTAAACATCTCTGAATAACATCATTGTTCCATACTTGATGATGAAATTTATATCACAGGTCCCAATGAACAAACAAGGAAGACATCATCCATCAACGAATCCGGGTTTAGAACTTAGAGACTCCAGCTCTTTCAGTTTCTCTTCATTGAAGCCTAAGGTAGCCATTATCTTGTGACCCGGCGATTCCACTTCGTACCAAATGCCAAGAAGCAGATGAGATGTTGTAATTTCCCCACTATCACCTGCAATTGAGAAATGGCAAGGACTTTAGAGCAAAGCAAAAAGACTTGACAATTCTGATTTGCCAAAGAAAAGATGTTCATGTGCCCTTGGAGCTCAATCCCGCAATTCCACAAGTGAGGGGGCATTGCGCAAGTAGCAAGAGCAACACAGGTTCGATTTCAGATAGTTCTATTATCTAGGTTGCTGTCAAGAATCAGATAAATGAGATTTTTAATTTTTTTAATCAATTATTGAAACCATTTTATCTGATATTCCCATCTCACAAAGCAGAATTACAATTAATTTTTCAAGCTCCATCGAGCATAGGACTTTACATGGCATTGGAAGATAAAGCTTGTCATTGTCATAGAAATGAAAATTGGATCTAATAACTAATTAACTAACAACAACAACAAAAATAACTGTGTCATTTCAAGAAAACACAAATTGTTCTTACATTCTAGGGAAGCTCAGCTCCCATTATCTACAATGACCCATTCTAGAAGATGGAAGCTGCCATAGAATCCAAAATCTTTTACCCATATAATGCGAGATATGTTTACTACTGTTTCTTTTCAACCCAAAAATAATGCAAATCAATGAAGCCAGTCCATGCATTGAGTATTCATCCCCCTACCCACTTCCTGCGACTAGGGACAAATTTCACTTGACTAATTCTTATACAAAGCAATTATGAAAAGAATTTTACTATAACACTTAACCCAGAGCTCTATATTTTTAAAAGATTACACTATCAAGCATACAAATTCTCAGATGGAAGATTATAAAAAATGAAATTACAGAATACAGTAAACATTTAAACAACGTCAGAAAAAAAAAATTACAAAATCATATGTTACGCTATTCAAATAGAAGTTACTAGCCTATATCCATGTTCATTTCAGCCATCTTACGTTACCTATCAACATATTTGTAATCATATATTTGTCTGCATGTTAAGATGCTACTAGAACGAGCATCCATGCAATTCCAATGACAGCAGTAGACTTAAGCTCAGGAGACATGCAAGAAACAATTTGAATTCACAAAAAAATTTGAAAGGCCAATCAAAAGAATTTCCAAAATAGAAAAATTTATATATGAATCAAACATCCCAGAAACACACCAGATTTTAGCTTTTTGTCAACAGCCCAATCAAGCACTCTTTGAGCTTCCTCCGTCAATGTGGGATGCTCAGGACTGAAGAACCACATGTCAGCTTTCCCAAGTAACTTGATCGTTTCTTCACGAACCTTGAAAAGTGTAATTCCATTTGCCCGTAAAAATTTTGCAGCCAGACTGGTTCCTGCAGCCCAATTCAAAGATGGCTAAGTATACCATATAATCAGTACAGAGTAAGTATGTGGTCAGATATTCGTAAGATTTTTTTTATATAGTAAGAAGACGCTTTGTATCTTATATTTGCATCCCCATTTAGCCTTTAGTTGTTGTTTTTGGATTGTAACTTTCCTAATTTCACGACTAAGCTATTATGCATAAGATAGAAGTATGCGCACAACTACACAAGGGCCCTTCTAACCAGCACAATTTTCTAACTAAGCTTCAACTTATGCAGCTCACTTGAAGACTACATTATACTCATGCACATCGCAACCAACTAAATTTCGAAATTTGCAGTTCTAGTCTTACATAATCTAGTCCTTTAACTCTGATTGTTTGACTCCATCTTAAAATCGGATACAACATTATCGAAAATGGAATCAATACTTAATTATAGCAGCACCAATCAACCCAACTACTTGCACTATGATCAGAGAAAAAACATTCAAAAGCAATTGAGTCATTAACTAAAAAATTAACAACAATGAAAGCTTAAAAGAGTCAGAAATTTGCTTACCCTCTATGAGGATACCCATAAGAATTGCTTCAGTCCCAGTAGTTGCATACTTGAGCTTCCTGGCTTCCAATTCACCCATGGCAAATGACTTTATAGCCCTCCAAGACCATCTGCATCCACTCACCCAATACCAAAACCTCAATCCCAACAACAAACCCAGAAATAAAAAACACTAAGCCCACAAAAGATATTAAAAAGACACTCACTTGGGCACTTTCTCAGTGAATGAAACTCCTTCCACATTTCTGTAATGACCAAATCAGAAGCATCTGAAACAACAGCTTGGTCATCCAAAACGTGAAAAAGAAACAAAATTGAAAATTCATGAAAGAGGGACTTGGAAAAGTGAGAAAACGGGACTCACGCTGTAGGGAGGCTGAGGCAGACTGTGGCAGAGAAAGGTCGTAGCTTTGGCTCTTGGGTTCTGACTCTGAGGCTTGAGAACTGAAGCGAGAGACTGTTGGCTCCCAGCCATGGCTTCTGCAAACCGTCGGGTCTCAAATTCCGCGTCAGAGTTGGCGAATCTAGGCCGGGTTTAGTTCTGTGATTGGGAATGAGAGCTGTGGTAGATGTTGGAAGCTTGGACAGAGAGTGAGCGGCCATTTTTGGAAAACCAAATGGAGCCTCAGTGAATTGGATATGTGGAAGGATATGGATTGGAATTTGTAACTTGGAAGCAAGAACGAGACGCGTCGTTTTCTGTGCACCTTTGTGTTTGAACTTGGGTTGGGCTTCCTTCCACCCAAATTCTTTTATGGCCGTTGAAATTGTGCTAGTTGTAGTTTGGGTGTTGATAATTGGACTCAACCTATTTCTTGAGAGGTTCCACCACAAACATCATCCCTTAGACACCAAATTTCAACCGTTTTACACCAATATTTTGTTGCTTTCATGATTGTGATGTTTGATGCAATCCATTAGTTCCTTAGAATCCGATTCAAAATGGATGGTAACACAGCTTTGTGATCTATCTTCAATTGTTTTGTTATTTCTAGTGTTTATCAACACACCGATTGCAATGTAGTAGAGAAAAAAAGCCATTTCAACAAACAGTTTTAAAAAAAAATATTTGCATGTTGAGAACTTAAATATGCACATCTTGTTAGAACACGAAGTGAGTGTGACTTGCAAACCACATGCTATATACATTTTTTTACATGTTCTATTTCGCATGATTAAGAATGATGAACTTGTGAATTATGAAATTGTGTGGATAATAGGAGGTACCAAGTTAAATAATTATATTTATAAATTCTAAACATATAATCTAATAACATAATACATTATCTATATATATTTTATATATACATATATAAAGCAAAAGGCAGAGAATGGTAAAACATTCAAAATACCAAAAAATGTCATTAGTTAATGCAAACATTAAGAATTAAAATTATTAATTAAATGAGAATAATATGGTAAATTCACACTTTTTCATATTTAAAAAATTAAAATTAAAAGAAAAATCGGATAATGAATCCTATTTTTATTGAACACAACTACCTATTATCTTTTTTAATTTTAAAATAAATTTAAATTTTTTATTAAAAAAAAGCCTCTCACAATCGCGGAAATGCGTGCGAAGAGGCTAGTAACCTATAAACAAAATACAAGCTAAAAGTAAGTGGAAGTTATTTTTAATAGGGAGTGTAGAGAGCATTTAGCAAATACTTTCGTTTTTGGTTTATAGTTTTTTTATTACATATGAATTTGGGTCATGGAAGTAGCCATCTCTGTCCAATGCTATGAAACTCTAGTTGTGTTCCTTTTTTTGGTCAGGGAATACTATTCATTAATAGTGGGAAACATTATAAATTGAGAAAACTCATTTCCAATGCAGCCCAATACCAACACATATAGCAGGCCCAATGATAGAAAACCAAATAAATAACAAAAGCCCATAAAATATTAAACAAAGAAACCCTGATCTAGAACATAGAAGCAGCCACTCATAGCATGCCAACAACACCACCAGAAACAGATCTGCCACCACCAAGGAGGAGTAACCGACACCAGGGGGTATCAAAAAGGCCAACGGAAGATGGGGGTGAGCAGGCCACCCGCGCGGAAGTGCTCCCATAATCCAAGTGTGAAGTGCAGGATGCACTTTAATTGCAGCCACGAACCACCACACACCACCGAGGAAGAACAACATGAGTGGTGGACGAGGAACCGATGAGCAAACGGTGGTAGTTTAGAACAAACGCCCAGATGAAGTTGTTGGCCATGGATGGACAACATCACTACATAGAAGAGATGAGGAGAGTGTAGATATAAGAAGTGGAGGGTGAAAAGTGAAGGTGGCTAGGGAAGAAAGGAGATGAAGAGATTGGAGATAAAGGGTCTCACAAAGTAGGCTTAACTTGAGGAAAAACAGGGAAAAAAAAAACTAAAGGAAACCGAAGTGGAGGCAAGAAGCCCCAGATCTGAGACAAAGCTCAGGGGAAAAACACCCATTTTGGGTGGGGACCACAGAGGGTGAGCCAAAATCACCACGGAGGGTGAGGAGGAAACAGTAAAAGAAAGAGGGAAACAATAAGAGATAAACAGAGA